TGTCCAAGACTTCTCTAGCAGTTAGCCTAGGTTAACAAAGCAGATGACAATCTTCTTCGTTCAGTGACTGCTTCTAACTGTAAGCAAGATAACTTTAATGGCTGCTGAGTCAGTGATGAAGCAATTTCAGCAAGATTAATGCAACAAGATCTGCTGTATTTAGACTTGTGCAATTGCTTTGCTAGCTCAGACATGTAGATCACAGCACATAATCTATAGCTTGCTTAGGCTCGCCCCTTTAATTCTTCTAGAAGTTATTAATACCAAATGATCAAAAACGCTAAATTAAGTACCAGCCAAATGTCAGTTTCATGAAAATCGCTAAAATAAGTACACGCTAATAATTGTCTCCTTAAGGTAGTATATTTTTTGCAAGTGTTTCAAAGGGTGTGGTTTCATTTTTAGTGAGAACTGAGCAGTGAAAGAATAGGTTATTTACCAAGGAACACAAGCAGGATTTCAGTGGCATTGATGAGACATTATTACATGATTGTAAAGCTTCATATTTATGCTACCACAGAGAACTATCAAGATAGAGATGATGTACATTACAGTATGTACTGTATGGTGATACAGCAAGTGCTTATAATAATTGTTGTCAATGTTTTTATTGCTATTTTTATAGTTAAAATTTGTTAAAAGACTCAATAATAATCAATCTATTGGGTGACTGAAGAATAGAATAATCATTATATATAGTGATAATTTTAATAATAATTTTTGTAGTACTTAGCACAGTGCATTCTTTCTTTTAATAGTAGATCTTCACTTTTTAGAACTAGAATATTGATTGTAACTCTTCTATAGTTGTAGACCTGAGCTTTAGTAAGTAATTCAACTGGATTTCTTCACTATCTTGCTTGTGCCATGCTTATACACGTGTAGTGTAAACGTCACGATACATCACTTCCGGCGCCAAGGATCGAGCGCATCCTGTTTCATATCCATGTGTGTATGTAGTATCTATGATTTGCCAGACCCACCCCCGTAGGCACGGAGGGTGTGGTCTGGCTACGCGAGACTACACCATAGATATTATAGACTACGTAACCGGGATTGGAAACTAGGATTCCCTTGTGGACAACGTCCGTGATTGAATTGGGCGTTAAATAGAATAAATTTGACCATGTGGCTTGCTTTTCATGCGGAAATAATGAATTTTTGGTTTTAAAGCAGTACTGTAGTCAAATACAATGCATGAATTAAAATGCTAACCCCCCAATTCCATGCACACAATATCACCCTATCATCACCCAAAAGGAGAAACCTCTGCTTGTTTTATAAAAGCTGTAACAGGTACGACAGTGGACTGTTCGCAGAAACAGTATTTCAGATATTACTCCTCTGACATAGCAAATCAGTAAATGAAACTATGACAGTTCCATGCACAATGATTGTGGAAACATTTCCAATGATCTTGTTAGTCTATTTTTACCCGTGTAATGGAGCAACAGGTACAAAAAGTTTTGAAAATTTGCAAGTAACAGAAATTTGAACAATATCACAGTATATTTGCAAAATAACAATGGTATCATTAGTTTTTTTCATTATAGTCATGTTACACAAACACTAAAGTATTGAAATATTATTAAAATAACAAAAAATCAACATTGGTTTAAATACAGTCTTCCTTTGAATGTTGTCGATGAGTAGCCATTTTTGACCACACCCACCAAAATCCAATCACGGACCCTGTGTCAGCCGGTTTGTACTGGTTTGAATGGATCACGTGAGCTAGTTTCCAATCCTGGTTACGTAGACTATAATATCTATGACTAGACTACACCCTCAGCACCCTCCTTCTCCAGTTCCTAGATACGCCCCTGATAAGGACGCAAGAATGGCTACTTGGTGCTAATAACCATGCTATGTAAACTTACGCACTGTGGTATCACAGATTATAGGCGGGTTAGACACTCTCCCTAAATAATTATCCACTCTTGGTTACACTAGTGAGGGCTTTATGTTTCATGCAGTGGTGTAGGATATCTTCTCACACCAGTTTGCAAGTACTCTCTTGTTTCTTTACTTTTTCCCATTTTTAATCCTACTGCTTTTCCATTTTTAATGTTTTTTATTTACTTGTTTCCATTCTTTTTTCTTAAATTAAGAAATTACATTCTGTTTTGATTCTGTGGTTAGGTTAATAATATTCATGCTAATCACGTGCGCATAAATCAAAATGGCGTCAAACCACAAACCCACGCGGTGTCTGCAGCTGGATTTTGACTTCCATTTTGTTCTCTCCTTGCTTCTTTTTGAATCCACCTTTGTGGTCCTTGACCCAAGCACAAAGGAATGATGTAAAAGCCAACTGGAGCGGTTCTCTGGCTTAAAAGATTAGAGGGCCCATAGAAGAAGATGAAAGAAGAAAAAGTCTGAAGAATTTTGCAGAAATTTCAGTGAAAATGATTTGGGCCTATTCTTCAAAAAAGCTCTTGCTACATTACAGTCCACTTTAAAGGTACCAGGTGAATCGCTCAGTGAAGGAGAGCTCATCTAAGCCATTTATAAGGCTGTACAACGTAAGATAAAAGAGTTATAAGTGGTTTGAAAATCATAAAAACGGTCGCCATCTTGAAAAACCAACCTCAATCCTACATATAGTGGTGGGCGATATATCGATATTTTATCGATACAAACGATATTTTACGGTATCGAATCGTATCGGTATCGAAATTTCAAAGGAATCTGGATCGATACGTTGACCACGCCCATTTATTAAGGTTAAATAATATAAATAACGAAAAATTTAATAAGTTAATGACGCATAATACACACACGTGGATACACGTGCGTGAAAACATTGATGAAAACAGTCAATAATAAGGGGTGTGACTCCATAGGTGTGGTCTAAATATCGTATCGAAACTGTATCGATACTCCCGATATGAGCTGATATCGATCGGTATCGTATCGAATCCATTTTGGCCAGTATCGCCCACCACTACCTACATATAGGCTACCGCCTATATAATAACTAGGACGATGTTAAAAACATCAGTTATGGGGCGAGCACGAGCGAGCTTTGTGAATTTATGTGAAAATAATAAGCTATTACAATTTTAATACTTCTTTCAAGTTGTCAATGACAAAAATGAACAAAACCAAGTTATTACATGTAGCTGTGTCACTGGATCAACTTTTACCTTTGGTTGAGTTTAGCCTACTCTCTTTATTAATTGCAGCTTATATTCTATATCTTTGAAATGAGGCTTTTGTAATAAAATGACTTGAAAATCTTCATTGTCTAAAAGAGCCTGTTGCTTTAACTTTGAGAGCTTTTTACACAGTCATTGACTTGCAAATGCCATCAGTCTGATGGCATTTGCAAGTCAGTGTAAAAAGCTCTTAAAGTTAAAGCAACTGGCAATCTTTCTACTATATTCTACATCTGATGTAGAATACAGTAGAAAGATTGCCAGTTTAGTCAAGTCAGAGTCAGAAACTGGCTTTTGCTTGACTTTTACAGTTTTCTTATGCTATTATGTCAACAAAAAGGAGTTTCATAGTTACTTTATTGCATCTTTCCCCTTCTTAAACTGTTGGAGAAGTTTTTGAACGCTGTGTTTGCCCTATTTTGTTGCTAGAAAGCTCATGACTTCTTGAATGTCGATGTCAATACACTAATGCAGAATTTGCAAGCATGGAAGGAATTTCATAGTTTCTAGCTTTGAGTGAAGAATCTCTGCAGTTATATAAATCTAGGATGGAAGATGGTTGGTCTCAGAAGCAAGGAGACTCCATTTTAGTGTTGTCTTTGGGTGTGACAAGACCCGGCATCTCTAGCATTTCTCCGTATTGGACCTCCTCGCTCTTTTCTCCTCCTCACGCTCATTAAACTGCGTCATCGAGTATCATCTTCCTCTACTTCTCATCACTCATTTTTTATCAGACTCCCCAGACTGTGGAACTACCTCCCTCCATTAAATGTGGACAGGTCTCTCGATTTAATTAAGAAAGATTTAAAACAAATTTTTATTTCACATTTTAAACGTAATTTTGATCAATCTAACCACCATTCATATCATGTTCTATGTCCTTGTTCTCTTTGTTCTTGTTCTCCTCCTTCCCCTTCTTTGTAATCTTTACTCTCTCCTCTCTTTATTTACTTTTCTCTCTGTGTTATCGGGAAGTCAGACAAGTTCCTGACTCTCCCTCAGGACACTCTTTTTAGTATATTGTATCCGTCTCTCTATCTTGCTTGTCCTGTAAAAATATTAATAATAATAATAATAATAATTACGAAGAAGTCGACGAGCTTCACGAGCATCTTCTTGTGAATTAATTATGCTTTAAGCTTCAGCTTCTCTTGTTTTTTTAATACTCTTGTCTCTTGAACTCCTCTCGTCCAGTGATTAGAAGTTGCTTTGTTTTTGCACGTGGTACCGTAATTATCAAAATTATCATTTTAAAATGTGTGATTATTATTTTTATAGACGCATAAATAGAGGTGACGTACGTGTACAAACAAACAAACAAACAACTGAACAAACAGAAATACTCGACTCGACTATGTGGGGCTCGCTTTTGCTCGCCCCAACTAGAAACAATGTAGAACATTCAAGGGCTCAGCCTCGTAGATTATTAGCTGAAAAAAAGCAGAATCTCAACCTTATGTTGCTGCTAGAAAATTCCTGACTTAGTTTTTCACTTTAAGCCTTGCTACACTGTCTTTGCGGCTACACTGTCTTTAAAATAGCCATAAGATATAAATAGGCTGGCCAGTTTAGTGCATTTGTTTGATTTTCACAGTTTATCTCAACAAAAAGGAGTTTCATAGTTACTTAATTGCACCTGTAACCTTTTCAAGCAGTTGGAGAAGTCTTTGGACGGTGTTTTTGCTTTATCTTGTTGCTAGGAAGTAGGAAAATCATGAATAAATGGGGTATTACAATACTTATTTATTCTAATAAATACACTGTAAAGCCACTTTACTCTCACTGCACACATTAATCAAAGCAATATTTGTTTTACCTAAAACTGTGCATTATATTCAAATATATTAGGACTTTGTCAGTTCGCTATAATTAACAATAACAGTCAAGCATGTACTGGATTGTCATTGAAGTAGATGGAAGATGGTTCCAAGGTTTAAGTGATCTGTGCCTAATAACAATCTTATAGACACACAGTAGTTAACTTGTTATTCATAGTGGATATGTTTTTGTTTTTATGTTCTCCTCTATCAGTTAGCAAACAGAGAGTAATTTACAAGTCCTGTTACATAAACAATAATGATGTACTTTCAGTATGATTGCTTCGTTTAGCATGACAGTTACTTTTACTATGAGTGCAAACACAAGTGTTGCCTTAATGAACATTCAAACTTTATAAAAGCACTGAGATCGATAGACTCTCTAGTATTTACAGTCAGAAATGTATTGTGCCATTCTTGCCCTCTCACTTGTATTTCTGTCAGCTTCCAGTCAGCAGATTAATGTAACTAATGAATATGATTTGGAGACTTTCTTGTGCAATGAGACTCATTCCCTGGATGATGATATTCTACTGGTGTTATCTGATAGCATCACTCACCTCATTAGTAACAATGCATCATTTTGTGTGATTAACACTAACTACTCACTGACAATGACCAGTGAATCCTCAAAGCAAGCTCTTATAAAGTGTAATGATTCCAGTATG